CTGCTCAGGTCTCTTCTGACCCTACAAACTATGAAACTATAGCAATCCTTTGTGACAAATGGATTCATGTGGGTATCGCAGTATTATTCTCGAGGAGTAAACTTTCTGTTGAGTGTGGAGGACTGGGAGAATAGGCTGTGTTACAACTTTACTGCTGACTTGGTGAGTATCCTGGCAACTTGCTTCAAGTTGTGTGGAGCACTCAGTTTTCCTCATCTGTGAAATGGGGAAAATAATACTTTTTGATCTCAGGAGGGTTGTAAGATGTCATTAATGTTTGCAACGTACTTAAATCCAAAGATTGTGAAGACCCTTCGGAGGCATATTTCACTATAGGTTCATGGTCGTGTTCCCTGCTAAAAAGAGCTTTGGAAGGGTGAAGTACCATAGTGCTAGAAAAGTAAATCTCAGCCACAATTAACTTACTTTTACTTCTGACAAGCAGAGGAGGTATGATGCCAGCTATAAGGAGACTATAATCTAAAGAAGCAGCAGCTGAGGACAAGGAGTCAGGATGGCTGGGTTTTCCTCCCGACTCTGGAGCACTGCAGGACCTTGGGTAAGTGACTTAGCCTCTTTGCCTCAGCAGGTTTCCCACCTGTAAAGAATGCATTGGCTCACCTCGGTGAAGTGTTTTGTAGGAATAAACCTTTCTAAGCACAGAATGCTAGTGGTCATTACTTACACTTTTTTAATTTTATTTTTATAGTCACACTAGCAACCAGAGTTTAATCGTATGAGGCAGCAGGTGATACAGCACTGCTTACGAGTGACTCTATTCGGGTTTCTTTTCCTCCTTTATGCCTACAACTAAACAGCACTCTGGTTTGTGGCAGATCAGCACTACTGGGCTAGATAAAAGCAATATGTAGCTAGGGTCTGGCAGAAAAGCATGGTACTAGAGCAAAATTAAGAGGATGTTGGGAGTGTAGAGAAGCAGGCCCAGGGAAAGTACCTCAGCACAGTGGTTAGGTAGGCAGCTGTGACTAGCCATAGGGACTGGGGGAAAATGTCAATCTAGTTGATTATTTATGGCAAATCTAAAGGACCCACAGCTGAGGGCAGGGACCCTAGACTGCAGAGCCCCTTAAATGAATGTTTAGAGCTGCAGATACAGGGGACTAAAGCAGGTCATGGTTAGCGCAAAGGGAAGAGGGCATTGGGTGCATCTACATGTTCATTAATGCATGATGGTTACTGGATTTTTGGTTGTAGCCATGTTAGTCTAAGGACATATGCAGGCAAGGTTCTTTGAGTAGATGTGATATTTTTTCATAAGACCAACTGAGTAGTTGGAGAAAAGTTCTTAGCAAGCTTTCAGGT